TATAACTATAGATTATCTTAATTGGTTAAATCTAATTTTTTAAACTTTAAAGAAAATTTTAATAAGATAACCTTTCTTGGACTTCTAATTAAAGTTGTAGAGAAGATTTTTTGGTTCTAATAATGTTTATATCATCAAAATCGGCTTGGTGAATCTCAAGATATTTAGGTTTATAAATTGGTAGTTATACAAAGTATTATACTATATTCATATCTTTAATTTCAAATATCTTTGAATCTACTAGTCTGATTTTGATGATCTAAATATTATTAGAACTAGAAAAGATAGCTCTACAACTTTAATTAATATATAAAGTTAGAATTTTAAGATTTTATAGAATTTTATTAATAAAATTTTACAAACTCTTAAATTTCTTAAAATTTTATTAATTAATTCTAACTTCATGTACTAATAAAATTTGTTTAGCAGAGATGTAGCAACTTAGTGAAGTGGTTGAGTTGTCACCTCTCAAGCAGCACATCTAGAGTTATCTGATCAAAATAAAACAGAGGACCTCTCATGCCCACTCTTAGAGCCTATAAAACTCATATATACTCATTTATTAATAAACCTAACCCTAAACCCTACCCCTAATGCTAAAAAGAACCCCAAAAAATGTCCTCCAAAAAATTTTATATTTTTTTAAAAAACAGAAAAATTTCATTTTGATCAGATTTCATTTTAATCTGTGATAATTCTTACTGACGATAAAAAATTGAATTCTTTCATATAATAGCAACTCTCTTGTATATTGAAAAAAAGATCTTGTAACATTGGTTATATCTTATATAGAAAGAGTATCTATTGCACTATCGGGTCGATCTAAGGAAGATTTCAAGGCATTTGTGTAATGTACAAGTTGCACAAAGAGAATACAAAACTGATAAGATGGTATAAACTTATAATAAGTCCTCAAATCATATTAATCTGATGAATGGCACTATGAGAAGCCCAATTGGCAAGACCTGAGTAGAGAGATAGCACAAGCTTTTGACAGTGTTTACCAAAATAGGCTCCACCCGAAGCTGGAGAACTGGACGAGGCAAGAGTACCGGCAAGTTACTCCATCAACCAGGCTGCCAAGTCGACCGGAGGAAAAGACTAGTGTCCTTTCCAGGCTATCTGGATTGGTAGTCCGGGGAGACTGGTTAGAGGGTACTGTAAGGGAAGGTACCGGATTGTCTTGAAGGGAAGGTGCTAGGGTTTGGGTGAACTCTACAAGAGCTGAGTAGGTAACGGTAGCGGCTTTGGCTTGCAAGTACTTGGTCTTGGCCTAAACATAAGTTACCAAAGTAGACTAGGTAATATAGTAATAGTAGATACCAAACTGCTCTAGCAGATGATGCACTCAAGGATGAATCAGTTAACCATACTGGTAGTCCTATAGATAGTCTGTGATGATTCTGGAACTTGGACTGACTTATGTATTACATGTTCTGGGTGAGGTTAGATAGATTAGCATAGGAAACTCAGATCAGAGGGTTTAATTGAATAATCCAAATAATAGTAGGTTATAGGTACAGCATTTAATATAGTACTTAGTAATAGGTAGCTACTTAATTAGGTGCTCAAAAGACATAGGTATAGCTAAAATATATCCTTGTCAGAATGTACTTGTCTGGGGTCTTCTTGAAAAGAGCACCACATGATTCTATAATCTAATAAAAGTAACAAGCCAAAGAGGCTAACCTTGACTATAGTACAAAAAAAAAAAAAAGATTACCAAATTTTTTACAATGTTTTCAAGATCCTATTTGTGACTTCAGCCAACTTTTTATTAGACTTTTTCTATTTTTTATCATGTATTAGTGTCTGAAGTAACTGAATATATTGCTGAAACTACCCAATTTAGCTACTTTAGAACTACTTTAAAATAGCTATAAAGTAACTATAAAGTAACTATATAGTTACTTTATAGTAGCTATTATTATACATTTACTATAGAATAGCAATACACCTACTACTACTTGCTACTACTACTACTTTGTCACAACATTATTATATTTTTATTACAATTTTATAAAATTTTTTTTTAAAAAAAAGTTTCAATACTTTTTTTTAAAAAAAAATTGTAGTAAAAGTATAGTAATGTTGTAGCAAAGTAGTAGTAAAGTAATAGCAAATAGTAATAGGTGTATTGCTACTCTATAGTAAATATATAACTATAGCTACTAAAAAATAACTATATAGTTAATTTATAGTTACTTTATAGCTATTTTAAAGTAGCTCTAAGTGGCTAAATTGGCAGTTTCAGCAATGTATAACCACAAATAACAAAATTTCTTACAAATTCACCATATCTATTTTTTACAATTGGTAGAAGAGATTCAGACACTATATTTGAAACTACTTTCTAATGACAAATTGTGTTAGAATACTATTTATATTCTTTAGATTGTCATTAATGCTTACTATAAAAGATTTCTGTAAGTTAGAAGGCAAATTTTGTATATTCTTCTACAAAAAGTCACTAGAATTATGATCTTTTCTATAATAAAATATAATAAATATTGAAATTTTTATATTATAAGAAAAGTTGAAATTTTATTAGTAAATAATTTTTTTAATTTATAGAATTATAAATTCTATTAATTATAATCATTGTAAATACTCTATTTAATTTCTCAAAATTTTTTAAAAATATTTTAGCCTGATTGAGAAATATATTTTAAAATTCTTTATAAATAGAGTTTATAAAAATTTTAAAAATTTATTTTTTAATCAGGTTAATTTTTTTTAAAAAAAAATTTGAGAAATTAAATAGAATATTTACAGTGATTATAATTAATAGAATTTATAATTCTATAAATTAATAAATATTTTATATAAATATTTTTGTGTATAAATATCTGTATAAATATTCTGTATAAATATTTGATAAATATAAAAAACATAATTTTATAAAATTTTTTAAATATCTGCGAATTCTCTAAATATTTACAAATTCTCTATGAATATCTGTAAATTTTCTAAAAAACTGTGAATTATTTATTAATATCTGCAAATTTCCTGAATATTTGTGAATTCTCTATGAATATCTATATAAAATATGTATATTTGTTCATTATTATTCACAAATAACCAAAATCCATGAATATTTATTAAATAACTATAATTGATATTCAAAAGGTCTCCCAGCTCTACTAATATGTTTTTACTTTCTGAGTTCATTCTCTTTCAAGATTCAAGGAAATAAGCGATGTGTTCTTGCAAAGTGCATCTGCTAATGCTTTTCTATTGCCTGATCCAAGTTCATTGTGATTTTTTTGTGAAATACTTCTGCTAATGCATTTACTTTTTCTAACCCAAGATTAATATTCCAAATATTTAAGCTTTTAGAGGATTGTTTTAAAAAATGCCTCTGCTATTATATTTTACCTTCTGATCCAAGTTCATTCTTATCAAAATCCAAAAAAGTTAAATATTCTTGCAAATATTTGCTTTTTTATTATCCAATTCAAGTTCATTGTCTTCAAGATTCCAAGAAGTTAGCAAAATATTCTTGTGAAGTGTGTTTATTAATATTTTTCTCCTTTCAATCTAAGATTATTTTATTTCGTTCTAAAATTATTTTAATAATAAAAAATTAAAAATTAAAAAATAATTAATTGATATATTATATACATATATATATATGCACAAAAGTAATATATGCAATTACTATAGATCTATGAAAAATATATAAATCCTGAATCTATTTTAAAAGTGTCTTTTCTAAGTTTATATTGATAACAATCTTTGACATAGTGATAAATTATCCAATTATTATTTCCTATTCTTAGCAGATTTTTGATTTGAAATTATCAAGAAAAATTCTAACAGAATTTATATCTTGCTGTTTTTATTAGTATATATAGATTGATCAAACTCAACTATTTTGCTGAAAAAGTTGTTCTGATTTATTGCGGTTTGCAAAATTTTGCAAATTTTGCTGATCAAGAAAAAAAGAAGTCTCACGATTTTCTAAGTGATTTCTGATTTCTTAAAACAACTCCAATATGACAACTTCATAACTAGATGTAAAAGTTGTTTTAAGAAATCAGAAATCACCTAGAAATCGCCTAAAAATCATGCAATTTCTTTTTTTTTCTTGATCTATAAAATTTACAAAATTTTGCAAACCGTAATAAGCTAGGCTTAGATTGATCTATAGTTAATGTTTGCCAGAGGTAAATTGTCAGCGAATTCTACCAAATTAAAAAATTAATCCAAATAGCAGAATATTGTCTATTATTGAGAAATACAAGGTTGTCAAATTTTCTCAGGAAGTAATGTGGGTCTTATAAGTCCATCACTAAGACACTAACTTTCAAATTTTAAAATTGATAATGGATTAATACATAGGCTAGTACAGTTCATGTCACTCTCGTACGTACCTGGTAAGTTACTGATAGGTTTTGTTTTATATATAATACCTTATGAATTAAACTAACTGATTCGAATGCTAAGAACTTGAAATCATCTGAATAAGTAAATACGCTTTCAAGAATGCCTTAAAAATTAAAGACTTGACTACATGAAAATTCATGAAAACATGAGTAGATTATTAACAAAAAAAAGGAAATTTCGCCTGAATCTAACTACAGTATGTCCTGAATCTAACTATTATGCTACATCAGGAATCTAACTATTGTACTATATCCTGAAGCTAATTATCACACTATGTTCCATTCTAATCATTATAGCATGTCTCCTATTCTAACTATTGTGTTATATCCCACGCTAACTATCGTGCTCCAATTATCATGCTACGTTCGTTCTATCACTCTATATTCATTCTGTTGTAACTATCGTGCTACTTCGTTCTTAATATTGTGCTATGTTCATCCTAACTATTGCGCTACATTTATTTTTACTATTGTGCTTCTAAAATAATGCGAATAAAAGTAAATTAGATAATAAAAGTTCATGAACTCAAATAGCTTGTTTAAATTTTCAGACTAATAAATATCTTCTTTACTCACCGAAAATAAGGCGCATAAAATAAATTAAACAGCGATTTATCGCAGTCGGAAAATGTGTACCAGGTTGTGACGTAGTTCTTCTGATCTATGAATCAGGTAAACGAATATCTCTGACAGATATTTGATCCGATCACTGATCTGCACCATAACACCGTACTGATATTTTTTCGATAACTTATAAATATAGGGAATGCCTATTTTCACCAACGAACGTATTATCATGGTCAATGGTGGAAATAGTAAATTTCATGATGGAAATAGGCGTTCTCTATATACATATTTTTTTATTTTATTTTTTTACTTCGAGAACATTATAAAATAACTTTGTTTTTTTATTTTTATAAATTAAACTGTAGTTATATATCAAACCAATCATTAATTTAGAATAAAATCATTGGACATTTGAATGTTCAATAAATATATTCAATGAAGTTATTAGATATTCATTCAATTTTTTGACCAATATCCGGATATTAAATAAAAATTGAATGAATATCTAAATTTTCATTTTTTGACCGAATCAGTTCTCTGATGTTGCTTTATTTTGAGAATCACCCTCTTTTTGCAATGCAGATCGTTTAAGCATGTCTGTAAGTAATGACACGGAAGATCCTGATGGTGGTGATTGATTGCTATTAGACAAGTTTGACCCAAATGAAATAGGTGACATTGGTGGTTCTGATCCATTATTGTTTAATAATGAATGTGGCTCTGACGTAGATGCCATAGAATTGATACTCGTACTACTAATTATTCGCTTTATACCGTCGCGCACCGGATTAATAAGACTTTCACGCATCGGATTAATAAGACCTTCACGCATCGGATTAATAAGACCTTCACGCATCGGATTAATAAGTATATCCCTAAAACGATCAGAGATTATATTTTCACCTAAAATAATATTTTGGACGCTTGATACACTTGATGACATCCAATCTGTAGTTTGAACTGGGCTGAGAGGTTCAGAATCTTTATGTTTGTCTGACAAAACATTATATTGTGATACAGCAACGACAATAGAATTCGTACGTTGTGGAATTTTTATAGAGTGACTTGGCTTTTGTTTTGCGGTCAAACATAATTTGTGAATTATTGGCCATTTGGAACTTGAAGATTTATCATCAAATAGCCCTTCATCTGGTATCAATTTTTCTAATTTGTTCAATGTTTGAAATATCTCATAGACTAGTTTATGTGTTTTTTCCACTTGTTTTATGAGACCATTAACTAATTATAAAAATTTAGCGAATACATAATTAAACTCATTAAATTTGAAAATAAAGTAATAAATAATATTTAATAATCTTAATGATCTTACCAACACTAATTTGCTCATGATTTGTTTTTGCTTGTAATTGTGTAGTTATTATTGATTGATTGATTTGTGCACAATATTCATCCGCTGATTTCACAGTTTCCATGACTATTCGCTAGAATATCAAAAGTTATTGAGCAAACTTCATTGAAACAACACATAATTAATTAGTTAACATTACCTGATCTTCACAAATTTCATCGACGCATTTTTTTATGTGAGATTGATAAATTAAGGAAAATTTGAATAATGATTCATATCCAAAAGATGCTGTAATGTTTACGAAATAAATAACGAAACTAATAAAATGTAATAAAGTGTAGCATTCGAAGGATAAAGGACATACGTTCTTTTTCATGTACCTGTGGTGTTGAACCCCACAGTCCACCTAGCACAAAACTCGTATCAATGTGAGGTTTTATCAAGGGTTCAAACTAAAATTTAGTACGAGTTAAGTCTTGTTGGATTAACATTTTCAAAGTTCAAAATTTTCTTTTTATTCTTACTCTTGGAATATTTTCAAGTTTTACAAGTTCAGGTGCCAAATCTTCTCTTTTATCACCTTCGTTTATCGTAATAACACCCTGAGATTGATCAAAAACATCTATAAATGTATTGGTATTGAGAATGTATTAGCTACTTCATTACCTTTTCAACGTCTCGGCGAATCAATTCAGTATGTTCGTCCTCCTTTACAACGTCTCGGTGAATCAATTCAGTATGTTCGTCCTCCTTTACACTGTGCGTTGAAGGAGTTTGGGAAAATATCATTTCGTTCTGCTCCATGTTATTTGGATCAGTTATATCTAATAAAGCTCTATCCATGAGGGACACTCCATTTTTTCGGGCTTTGTCATAAGATTGTTGACCAATCAGAAACCGCTTTATCAACACATGATCTAGAACTTTCCTATAGCCGGTAACATCAGAAAATTTTCTATATGAACTTTACCTAGTCCACATGACGGGAACATCTAATATAAGTTTCCGGGGTCCTAAATAATTTAATTTTACCAATTCGTAACGATAAGAATATATAAATACTTTGTCTCTAACGGCCGGCGACGAAGCATTGTGAACGATGAATGAATTTATTTAAATTATTTATCGCTCAATTATCTGGTAAATATATCAACCATTTATCGCTCAATTATCTGGTAATATATTCAAACTATTTATCGCACGTAAATATATTTCAAACTATTGAAATTACAAAGTCTAATATTAAATTATGCAGAGCTAAAATTAGTGGTGTTTATGGTTACTAAGAACCGGAACTTTCTAAGACGTTTAATCGTTTAATTCAACCAGCATTAAGATAATTCTAGCCAATGATAATCATGATTCTGCTTGGCACTGTGAAATAAATTTTATGCGGTTAAACTGATCCAATTCTTAATGGTCTATGTTGTCTGAATCAAAAAAAAATTTGAAATTTATATAACTAGAGGGTGGGATTGGTGAATAATTATTCAATCATTAATCGTCGAAATGAGTTTAATTCATTGAGTTTTGAATTCGATCGATCATCGAATATCAGTCAAAGTTAAATTTAACTGTGTAGTGATAGTAATAAATTTGATATAAGATTGAATAAAAACACTGACTACATCTTCTGTTAATGTTCTCGTAGAATTCTTTTAATAACAAAGAGGACGAATATAATCGTATTATTATTTCAGCTTGTAAAGAACTAAAATCCTGATAGTCCTAGAATACAAAAATTATTTGGTGGATCTAAAAAATAATTTTGAATTTGGCAGTATTTTGATTTGATCTAATAAAAATGCGAAGAAACTCAATATGGTGGTCTTGCAAAAACGGTATTCTCTAATTTAAATGATGGCACAAAAATTTCTTCAACAAGCTGCAAAGTGAATACTTATTTTCAAACGCAGGAAGTGTTATAAGTGTGAAGAGGACATTATCGAATCCAAAGTTATTTAGCACATTTTTAAAATATAATTATTTGAGCTTATCAGTTATAAAAAATTCATTAGGGTTAATTTTTTTAAACCCCAAAATTTAATAGTCATTGACCGATCAGTTGGGGCTGGATTGTCATTTGACAAATATTATATCGTTGTTTATTACAGTATTATATAGCATTATATTAAAATGATAAATAAACATGCAAATGATCGATTTATTGTTGATTTGATTGGTACAATCTTTTCAAAAAAAGTAATCGGTTTAAGGGTGGGGTAATCGGTTAGACGCCGATTCTAATATACAATTTCTGGCTCAAACATAGTTTGATGTGGTCGGATTTGTATTACCGGGTTTTTATTAATTTTGGTAAAATTGATTTTCAGATTATTTAGTTACATTAGTACATAGTTTGGGTACATTGTAATTAAATCTTCTATTGTTGCTTGGCAAATATATTTCGAATTTGTTAGTGATCGTATTTTGATTACGCCGAATATTTGGTTAGCAGGATTTTCATCTTGTACGATTCTAAATCTGAATGTTTGAAACTTTATTCTATCGTACGCTAAAGGCGTATTAAATAATTGTGTTAATGTCGGTATTGGTCCTAATGCTGCGGCTATTGAAGGTTGTTGCAGTTTGTCGAATATTATAGTATATCTTCTTTTTGAATAATTTCTGATTTTTTGTTCTATCCTGTGTTTGGTATTTTTTAGTTTGGAAATTTCTTTTTCGAGTTCCTTTTTGTAATTTTTTAGTTGGTAAATGTCTTGAGGGGTTATTGTTTCATATTGTCTGTGTATTAAAGTTTCTGCTTCTTTATATGTAAATTTT